AAATAAGTGACTGCCTGAAAGTACCATTACTGTTGTTCAAATTTCATTTCACTCGGCAAGTATATTCATGTACGCCAAGGGGAAAATATCATACTTCTAAATATTGTTTATTTCGAAAAACTGTACTCCTGAAGGGACTACTTTGTTTGCTCGCAGACCTCATTTGCATATGGGTTGTGGAAATACCGATTTTGATTTCAGGGACGAATCAAAATAAACTGCAGTACATATGTAATAATCCCTGTTATTCTGCAATTTGTACTTTCTGAATAAGCATTGTTATAACATGTATACATTAATTACCCCCCCCCCCTCGTCATTTTAAAAATCAAGTAGCGTATTTTTCTCTATTAAATACATATTTGTGATAGAGGCATATAAAATACATAATGGTTATTTTGGATAAGTACCTGGTTACTGTACTGAGTAATCATAGTTGATATGACTGAAGATTTGTATATTCCCAACACGTTTGGGTCCTTATTAAGCCGTGCTAACTGCGCACCCCGTGCGTAAACACAAGTGGTTCTAGCCGTTATGCAAATATATGAGATTAGCTTAAAACCTGTATCCTGAACACGACTATACTCTCCGCTATAAATCTTCCATGTACTAATCTACCTCTTTCTTTTATTTTATTTGAATATCCAGACAACAAATATTGCCTTCTCTCTCTTTCTTTACCCCCTGAAAAATATTCCATAAATAATAACGCGTGAAACTGAAATTGTTAGTAATCACAGGTTCTTGTAGATGCGAATATATTCGTAAGAGAAAAAATCAATTCAAATTAATAGCGATCGCAGAGTTCAGTAGATAACAGGCGTATATGAATTGGCTATTATAATAATGCTGAGTAAATGGGAATACAAAGTAGATTGTTCGAGAATTAGTTTCAAATATACACATCTTTCACACCACGACTTAACAAGTTTGACGTACACGAAATCCGGGGGGGGGGGTTTACATACGAGCAGGTGAACGTACGCTGAAGAAATCAACTTGGAATCAACTTGATGACGTTAACGTAGAGAACACCTGCGTGCCATAAACCAGCAAAATTGCCTTGTGGTATTTTTAATGAGTACCGGCACCGTCCTGTGATGTTTATGACGCCAATTACGAAGCAAGTATATAACGTAATAAGGATATTTTTAATTGCCGACTTGGTGTAAGTTGAGAAATTGAGTTTTGAATCAATACTTATAGTCAGTTCATTTCTTGATGTTTTCAAATGAACACCAGGTGTTTCTATATAATTATAATTTTACCATAACCATACAAATGAGTGTATAGTTAAAAATTATACGTATTATCACTTTTTGCTGCTCCTAATTAGCATGCACAAGTGAATGTCCATACTCACCCGTAATCCAAAAAGGAGCAGAAAATCTCTTCATTGCTCTGTAAAATACCAAGAACGTTTGCAAATATATGTATTGTACGTTTATATTGTATGCAAATAGCTCAGTTGATTAGAAACTATACTATATGATGTTGACAAATTTGACAGAGAAATAATCTTATCATTCATCAATAGTCAATTGCATATTATTTTATACCGATATGTCGCATATCTGATGAAATAAAGACCGTCATCATACCAAAGGTGAGGTCATTATTGAAATCTGCGACGGAATATTCAAGAGTCTTAAACTACAAATGATATACATGGCAATAAACTGAATAATGCTGTGTACCTGTTTAGGAGCAATGAGTTTATGTTTCACCAATATCGGATACTCTGTATTCACCGATCCTATTATCTTTAGACTCGGGTGTACGTGCATTGATATGACGTCACTGTTCAGCTTTGCATTGCTTGTACCTCTGGATGAATAAGCACAGGGTAAGCACTATTATGGGTTGTATTGTTATTGTTTTTTTTATTTTGCGGTTTTTGATGAGAAAAGTCAATAAATATCAATAAACTATAAACAAATTTCTGCATGTCTACCTATTTACTCAACACCCCATCCCAATTTGTAGCTTATCTGTAGCATATTAAATTATTCAGCCATCACCAAATACACTAATAAAATTTAAAAAAATGTTTGGAAACTAATATTTCCCCGACGGTATTTTACCTTGATTGAGTGACGATGTCAGAGGTTACGTTCTCCATTAGTAAGTCGTCAACAGATTCATATCTGGCGGCCACGATTACAAAATTGCCGTTAACCGTGCCATCAATGGCCGAGGCCGGCAACTCAATATAGGATGAGTCGTCATTGGTAGCTGAGCCATCAAATCGGTAACCTCGAAATCCGTTCTTTTCGAACACCCGAGCTTCATAGTCTAAAACGAAAAGTAAAATACAGATTGTATGTTAAATGTATGGCACGGAATAATAGAAACGTTCGTCGCTGATCATTGACCACACAGTGTAGCTCAACACTACATATACCTGGGTCTCCCAGCTCAAAAGCATCGCCAGAGTGCGTTGTTGTATTTTTACGTTCTGTATCACCAAGACGATGCAAATGTAGAACACATTCACTGCGTCTACATGTCTCCTGCGCTAATTGGGTGTCAGCACCTCAATGAATCTTGGCAACAGATACAGCAGACATCCGTGTGACAGATAATACACATAGTCTATGTATAAACGATCTCACTGCATTTTTTAATTATAAAAATACCACAGAAACGCTGCTGATACGCGTACCCCGATTACTGAATAACACGATATAGCAGGTTTGATGTGTTTCTACAATGTATTTTTACAAGAATTGTTTTCTGCTGATACGTCGCAAAATTTGAATAAATTGGTATGGTACTACTACATTGCATTCTGCCGACAATCATGAAGAAAACATATGTGCGCATTATTCGCTGTGTGACTTTGGCCTTGCTCTATTCAATTTAATCCCAGAAGCCAGTGATTATATGAGTCAATCAATTATTCAATTTGTTTGGCGATGAACTTGTCAGGAGAACTGTGGCGACGAACTTGTCAAACGAACTGCGCTTTCTTTGTAGACCCTTCATTTGCTTCGTGTCATATGGCTAGGAAAATTCTTCACGCGAGTTTTAGTTTATTATTTTACACGTTTGGTAGTATCCTTGTTCTCGTAGTTTAATAAAATAAACACTGTGAAATAAAACGCGCTGTAAATACATATTCAAATTGTTGGCACATAGCTTCAGTACGCTATGTTATATTATAAAGGATATATCTTTAATTTTGCTTCGTTTTGGCCATCTTTTATTCCCACACATTTGATAGAATTTCGTTAGTAAATATCCGAGTGATGAGGATAGAACAAGACATCAAAGAGCTTAACCGTCTGTCGCATGCATCAGTACTCAGATTTCTTTAGGCAGCGATTCTCGTGCAAAACACTGAATTGAGACTGTCCAATATGTAACTGACATCATACATTTAACACGTGGTAGTATTGAATACCCAAGTGATAGCCTATGCCCGGGAATAAGTTATTACGTATACTATAGGCGGATTTCAACGTGATTTATTCGACATGTAGAAACGTACGACTGGGTGACCGTGCGAGTCACGAATCACCTGTGAACGAGCCTCACAATTACCGATTTAATCGCACAGTACAATAACCCGTAACTAGTCTATTAAGAAAACTGTTGCATCTCACCAATGTTTTCAGTATGTGTCGTAACAGCAAATCCAGGCATAGAGTCAATTAGAAATTCTGCGGCTTCATTCGATACAATATCTACAGTTTCCAATACTTCCAAAACACCAACCTGTATAAAAATTGAGACAAACGGTTCTTAATGATCTTTGAGCTCTGAAACAAATATAACGGTTCCTATGCTAATAATTACCCAGGTACACTGCGATAACTAGCGGTAAAATAAAACAGGTGAAAATAAATGAAATACTTATTATACTAAGCTACACATACAGTGAGCAGCACTAATGAAGTGTTGCCTTGGTAACGAATGTATTTCATTGAGATACGGGGTGTTAATGAACAACGCAATTTCCTTCCATCAAAGATACTGAGAAGGTATACCTCCACGTCAACAGGAAGAAAAAGTTAATGTAAATTGAATTTGTCGGTATTCATGAAACATTTCTAATAACCGGCCATTATGGTATAATGGGAGTTACTATTTATACAATTTGAACAATTTTATTTTATGCGACTGATATGTGTTACTAGTTTCGTACGTTCATGATAATACTGTATTCCGGTATATATACCAGTAAAGCTGATGAATTTAGCATTTCAGGTGATGAGTACGCGAAGAAAATTTATACATAGTGTGCATGTGTTTTTTTTATCGTGTCACGTGACTGCGTCTGACAAATCGGATTGGCCACTTCAGAAATGCAATATATTAAATATAAAATGTGCACGACAACTCTGATTAGTAGACAGTTTTATCCATTCAAATAGAGCACCGTTAACCGAGGCGAAGGTGATGTTATTATTGATTTTTTAGGGTTGATGTCGATATAACAGTGAATGTGAGTTCTTGCACAAACCTCATGATCAAAAAGGTCTACCATATTCGCCATATCAGTATTTTATATGTTAAGCACTACAATACCTCACGTTAGTTAAAATATTAGAAGTAATTTTAATGCAGAAGTTCATTTCATTTAATTTAGGGTATTATTTCAATATTTACCGTGTATTTGATTGGGTTACAGTGTCGGTTATTTCATAGAGAATGACTCAAACTTGTTGTCACTCCATTCCCTTCCAGCATACTTAATATTGTATTGTAAAAATACGTAGTGTTCTGCGCTGCAATTACCAAATGAAGCATTTCACAGGAAATTGGGAACTCAGTAATAACATGACCTAGTTTTCAAATAAAGCGCTTAACCTCAGATAGAACTTTCATACTACTGTAACACTATTTATTTTCATTGGCGTTTCATTTCACTATTTTGATGCTTTAGGCAATTTCACTGGGTTTTTTAGTTCACGACATTAGCTGGGAAACAGTGGGTACTGCCGTTATTCTACATGCTCACGTGGATTCAATTTAGCGAATTTTAGTTTTCAGTGAAAATAGCGATATTAAAAACCAGTAGATAATTAATGTGCTAACAGTATTCGTGTGAACACTTAAATTCTCATTCAGGTAAGTTACAATTCAATTAAATTAAGTTCACTATGATGTGATCTACCTCACGACCATGATTACTCATTAAGCAATTACAGTAAAGTGAGTGTGTTACTATGGACCGAAATTATTAAATTATTTAGATGTTATATTATATATTGTTATACCGCCGCTATAATGACCAAAACAAAACATTGAAAATGTTTTCTCATAGTATAATAAAATACATTTTATACACATATTAGCCATTCTTCCAATTTTAACTCGTATGACAACATAATGAATCGAAGCCTGGTATTGAGATATTTTACATTTCAAAACTGTTGTATTAAGTTGCACTATGATACCTGCAAGACTCTCAATATCATCTACCGTAAGTACTTAATGAGTATAATGTCAAGTAGATTCTGGGAAGTCAAGTGTTCATACGTGTCCTTTTACATATTGACATTGTGAAGTAGTCGCTAATGATCCGTAAAATTGGACAAAAGAACACTGTACGTAACCTTACTATTGAAATAACAAGAAAAAAAAGCAACGTGAATAGCTTTCAAAGGTTGTGATAAAGTTTAAATAATTTGTTTTTGACATTTTATTCTGTTGATCTATCAGGATAATATTTTGGATGAAATAAAAGTTTTGTTTTGACAGCAAATATAGAAGTATTCTTTCCATGTACAAGCGTTACGGATTTATGAATACGTATAAGTAATCACAATCTCATGGTTTGGTAGTTCATCAGACTAATATAGGTTTGTTAGGTTTGCTGTCAAAATAATATGTTTATTTAGAGTTATTTAATGAACAACCGTTACACCGCCGATATTGCAGAAGACATCGAGCCGAAGGCGAATCCATTGTGCAATACCAAGTGATAAACTAACTTTCATACTTCCACCAAGGAGGTCATGTTTTTGATAGCGTTAGGTTGATGGACTCAGTCTGTCTTTTAGTAACATTAAGAAACATGTTATGGAAGGACTGCTTTGATATTTTTAATATGTGCGTTGCCGCCCAAAAAAGAACTATTAAATTTTGTTGGCAATTTGTATCACTGTCTGAACATGTAAGTAATTCAAAGGATTATTTATCAATGCAATACATATTTTTGAAATATGTGAATATAACTCCATAACAAAAGTGTTTGGCAATATGATTCCAATGTGTTCTATGTATATAGTTTGATCCGGAACATGTCATAATTCTGGCTACTATGAGCAGAACAATGTAAATGAGGGGAGGTGAATTTTCAGACACTGTAAGGTAACAAGTAAAGACACATGCATCCAACTAAACCTAAATTTTTGCTAAATCTGTGTCTTCGCCCAGGGAAGAAACCATTTTGGTTGATATCAGTTATATCCCGGTACTTCCATCCAGAAAAAAACATATCGGTGGATTTTCAAAGTGAGAAATGATACAGACATGTAACTAACACCAAATTGTAGTCAAAACTGTGCTGATTCTTTACTATATCATTCTATTCAACGGAGTTCGTGACTCTTTATTACACACGGAGCTAGATCCGATAGTAACCCGCTATTCGAAAGAAAAAAAATTGCCAGTAACTAATGAAGGAATAGTTATATATGATAATTCATGAACCTTGTTTCAGAATAGCGGGATTTATTCGCGGAGTTTCTTGTTAGTGGTAACATTGATACAGAGCTGTCGCAATTTACTTCAAAGAATACCGACAATAAATCGTACCCGAATGATTTTGTTTTATCAAGATCTAATACGCAAACAATTATTTAAATATACTCAAACTTTTTCACATTCCCTCTCTATTCATTTTTCATCGTGAATCCCCCCACGCTTTGTTAAAATCGACGGGTGTATTGATGCTTTCAAGTGGGATGTCGTCATATATTTGTTATTACTGTACAACGTGGCGGGAATCTACTTTACCCTGGTGTTGAATGTAATCATATTGCTATATTTCGTTTATTTGAATTCCACTGATAGTTTATACTGAACTATTAACTGTTATTTAAAAAAAACGTATTGGCCCGAACCGATCCAATTTCAAGAATATGTAATTTAAGCCTAAATTACTTCGTAGCAAATGCGATAAATGGTGTAATTTTCATTAAGGCTAATAATTGACTGTATTTAAATGACTTTCGTGGGCATGATAACTGTAACACTGATTGGCTAAATACATGGCATTAACGCTGGTGAAATGGATTACTGTAAACATGAACATCACTCAAAACTCCCATCTCAACTTTCAGCTATCTACATTCAAATGTTTTTTCCTAATCCCGATTGCACAACTCATCCAGTCTCAGCAATCACTTTTCTTCAGTTTTTAGCTGGGAAAGTGTTGCTATGAGCTATGTCAATTGATTTATGTGTGTGGTTTTTTCCACTGCGTTCAACTGGCACGTGAATTATTGAACAATATATGGCGAAATTCTGTATGAATGATAGAAAAGACGGGCTATAACGCTAAGGCATACTCGAACTTCACAAATAGCATTACAGTTCCTGCTCCAACCGCCGATCAATAAGTTGTTCCGCCCAGACTTTCTTCGAAAATTGTGCCCGCCTGTTGCTACCGTTTATGACGTAACAACAGTGCACGAGCATTTGCGAAAACAGAAAGTGTAGCGCAGTCCCAAATGTATTCAGGCTGAGAGTAATCGATGCCATACATAGCAGAAAAGCCATTTGTATTGACTGGCCACTTCTGGATACACCTGGGAGTGACCTTTGTTTAGCCCCTCGTCAAATGCATCGGGAAGTGTGTGGCGGGTCTAAAACAAAACACATACACACATGCATACTTTGAAGTCATTGATTGCGTGTTACATACATTTTTAGAAATTATTATTACCTGTATTTTTACCAAATACCACTTTGTGAATGGTATTATATCTGTGCTATGCACATTTTAGTTCATACCTGGTTCTTGCTTTGACGTTCTCTCCAGAAATATGTAAGATTACGTTTCAACAATGCGCTGCAAGATTCCAAGAGATCCTTTGCCAACAAAAGAAATGTGTATATTTAGTAGAATGTTATAAAACTAAAAAATAAATAATCAAATGTCATATACTTTGTTGCGATATATTTAATTATGTTCACAATTACTAGACTAAGTCACTTGAAATGATATCTTTCAGTGTTGCTTGACTGATTTGACTTGTACGACTTTGTATGAAATGCATTTTCGATTACAATACAATCAAGTACAGTATGTTTAGCGTACAGACAAGGTACTCACATCTGATTACGAATGACACCATACAAACCTTGAACAATTGCTGCTGTTCAAATGGCGCATCAAGTGTGCTAATTAAACTTTCGTCATTCGCGATCACTTGTATGTTGTCCAGAATATGTTTAATTTCTTGCTCTGTAACATCTTCTCCGATAACCGACGTTTCTTCCCGCAGTGTAGCGACCTACAACAGTAAACATACCACACAGTGTGTAAACATTACATCACCATTACCGTTTACCATCGTACATAGGAGAGCAAAAGCCGTTACTAATTTGAACAATATACGTCATATTTACGTCGTATTCTAACAATATATATTGTTTACATTGCAGTTGACATCTATATTACGCGTAACGGAATTGTTATCGCGTTACTGAACGTAAGCGAAGACGTAGATACGCATATTGTAAAGTGCTTTTTACTGGCATTCCAAATTGTTATCTCTCGAAAAATTACAAGCAAAAACGTTGTTTAATACAAGTCGATATCAACACTGAACTGCCTTTATACATACTTCGTGATATTATCGTAATAACATCATAAAACTACACTATATAGGTGTAAAAGGCGAGTTTGTTCACAGGATTCAGTTTGAAAGGTGTCCCATATTTGTTATTTTCTGCCAAAAATATTGTATAACTGGAATTCTACAAAAACCTTGTTTTAACATTTCTGGACTAGAAACAAATTTTCTTTGAGCATAATCATGTCAAACTTTTCTACTTTCAATTTATGATATCCTGCTGTGTACAGCAGCAAATTGTTTGCTGAAGAGATGATCTTGGTTGGTGGGTAGTACTACATCAACATGTATGTAATGAATGCCGAATTTATGTACATGTTCTTGTATGTATAGTAATATAACTTTACCAAGACGATATTGTACGTGGAGAGCATTTCTTATATAATTAGATAAAGAGATCATTTTAAAGAAATAATTCCACTTGGTAAGGTAAAAATATGAAACATATTATTAGTTAGAAGGGTTTCGATCGCAGGAAAAGAAATTTCAGCATCACACAGCATTCCTTTTAAATCATTAAAACTCTAACCAGTTTAAAATGGTAGCTTTAACCACGCCGATAAAACCTTTCATTTATGTAGTCTAAAATAAAATAATTCTTTAATAATACGATTCTCGTATGTAGTTTGTCATCGGAGGTCAATATTAATGTATATATACTTTATTTATTGTATAAGATATATATTGCATCTTAGCATATACAACCTATCGCATATGTTACCAAGGAAACAAATAACGATTGAATGTCGACAGTAATTATTATATCATATATTAAAGCTGCTTCTTACTCTCATTTTTATAATAAAATGTCTCATCTCATGTTACCCTGAATTATTATACATTTTAATAAAGAAAATAGATTGGTTGTTACACACGGGGTTTTGAATCACGTGGTACTGCCGCGAATCAACCATAAAGGTAGTTGGTAATTATTTTGTTTTAATTAAAGCGGGAGGGTCGTCACCTGCGCACGCGTGGAAATTCACGCTAATGGGAAGATGCTTGTTTGTAAACAATGACACATGATGGTCATCTGCCACATGCGCAGGTAACGACTCACCCGCTTTAATCAACAAAACAAGGTGTTTCGGGTATGGATTCATTCACCAGTGAAATATAATTTGTTTTAGTACAGTCCTAACATTATCGACTACGGTATGTATGAGGGCGAGAATTAGCGGGATATTCTCCAATTATTCCCCTAACAGTGATTCAATTTGGATTTTCAGACAAGTGCCAATTTGTATGGAATCCGGGTTAGTCGATCAGTTCTAGACACTATGTGATTTATTTACAATCCCAACAACAACGTTTTTCAAATATGTACGAAAACAGAATGCGCTCTGTCGCTAATGTACAATCCGGATAATTATAGAACATAGCTGTATATATAGCCACAAATCATCAATGCTGTTACTGATAACAGCAATTGCAATAGACGTGTTTTCAACACTTTTCCCTCTTGTTCGACAATGAGAAGAAGAGAACCGCCGGTACTTTCACACACAAAAACGCTGAACTATACATCAAACAACTCGTTGACTATATTATTTCAAAATGTTTCGCCATTATACATCATTATTAAATTGTTGTTTATATAAAAAATACAGAATCTGCTCCAACTTTTGCGTATAATTCAGTAATGGAGGAATAGAATAATCCTGTCTTAAATTCAATAAAATTTTATGAAAGATGCAATGCGATATTCACGCTCAGATAGATATACTGATATATGAAACACCATACCTGTTCAATTAGAGAATTATATTCACGATTTGAATCAGATGTGTTGATTTGTTGACCAGATGAAGTGGTTGATGATCCTGTATTACTTTCTGAACTGGTAGATGGTACGTTTTCTGAAGTACTACCATCAAAACTGGTTGATTCTTCTGTGCATGTGGATGAAGAGGTATTTATCATTACACCCATGTCATAAATAAAAAAAGTGATAGTTCATGTAGAACAATGTGCTAATATTAATTTCAACGCAAGAGGCATAAATATTTCCGTTAAAACTTCACAAATTGTCACAACATAAAAAGTCAAATGAAAATGAATCTTTTCAATCATTTTGATGCAAATGTTTTTAATGTCAAATCTATCACTGAAGTGTGTGTGAACATATTAATTACAAAACGGATGGTCTAATATGCGGATTGTGTGTAGATAACTAATAGATAACTGTCAAATGTTCCAATCAAAGAATGAAACACCCACGGTCCACATTGCCTTATTGGATGAACAATTTCCCAATTTTGTTTGCATGAATGATAACGGTACTACTCAACATGAAGAGTGGCTACCTCGGGGCTCGGGGTATTTTTTGTCTTACCTATGACGTATATCATGAATGTACACTCAGCCATATTGCCAGATGGATCGGAAGCATTATAGACAACAGGATGTTTACCAGGTGTAAAGAAGTCACCGGGACTATGACTTGAGAAAACACTAACGCTTTGAGAATTGTCCGTGGCAGAGATATCAGGCCATGTTACTTGTGTTCCATACGATAGTATGGAGTCAACAGTTTGGTCTGGTGGACATGATATGATGGGTGGTTGGTCATCTGAAATAATAATACAAATGTACATTAACTGCAATGACAATTACTATATTGCGAATTCGTCACGTGGTGTGTATTTATTAACTGCGAAACGGAAATTAAGCTAATTAACAATTCCGAATTTTATTTATATTTAGTATTTTTAATATCACGGCCTTTGTTCGAACCCCGTCTACGTGATTTATTCTTATCACGGAGAAAATGAGTATAATTTTAATACAATTTATGAAAACAATTTAGCAGTCTAAACCGCGACAACTAATAGATCTGGTTATAGAAAGGATGTTCAGATATTTAAATGTTTTCAGAATAATATGGTTCTGAGATGTATATTATGATATATTTGTGCTAAAAATGCTCAAACTAAACAGAAATGCAGCTACAATGACAATACAATTGCCTAATACCGACAATAATAGTAAATACTATGATGTTAGCAGCGTCGTTCGATACTGTCTTCGTGCATACTTTCCGGTATCCTCGTAATAACCTTATTATTATACATCTTTTCCTCCCAATGATACATCATGGGAATGGCAAACTCAAACAAGTTTAGAACAGATTTAGCGAACTTATTCGCGTGAAGTCCGGTCAAACCCTAGAGGACGCTCACGCGCGTAATCTGGACTTCGCATTTCCTAATATGGTAGGATGAGAATACCCAGTGCGGTGACATATGTATAATAATGTGAGGTTATTACGAGGATACTGCAAAACATGCACGAAGATAGTTCAGCGGGAGTATCGAGCGACGCGTATCGCACAACTTTTTAACCCAGGAATACATCATGGAAATGCCGAAATTACGACAAGCTGTAATTTATGGCGGTGAGAGATGTATAATAATTCGTATTATAATTTGTTTATAATTTGTTGCATTGTTCCCATGTATTTCAACAGGTACTAAGTATGCTACTATACCAACATATACACCGTCACCATATACGAATACGGTAGTGCATATATCGTACCAATGTTTATTAATTTTGTCTTGTTTTCTTCATTCATGGTTCGCATTTTTCACATCTACCATTTTATTTTGAGTAAATGCCGAAAGGAAATTGGATGATTCGGTTTAGATTAATGTTAATGATGGTTGTTGCGTTGTCAAAAGTTCGTAAGATTAGTTTGGGTCGTGTCGAATTTTGTGCTGGTTATATATTAATACAAATGATGTGAAAGTATTCGATTTTTGTAGTCGTGTTTGTTTGATTGCACCCAATTTGCAAAGCAATTGCCATAAATAGAAGACAAACTGAAATGCAATTTAGCAATAAATACTAATATATTTTACCCATTAACAAATAATGAAGACGTCACAGTTCCTATCACTTCTCATTTTTGTGTATCTTAGCTACTGTAACAACATCACTATAGAGGGATGAGATCGTCGGGTGAAACTATTTTCACTTACCTAAGACTTCAATAGTGAATTCACAGCTTGCACCAGGCATGCCAGTAGAGCTCATCTCCTGGTACATTAGAGTATGTATGCCGATGCTGAAGAAATCTCCACTACCTAGGTTCGAGTTCAGCGTAAGTACTATGTTTGGATCGCTGCTAACGGGTAATGTCCATTGTATTATTGCACCAGCTTCATCCACATCGGCTGTTGCAGTTATCGCATTTGGACAGGTTAAACCAGATGTTACTGTAAATATGTTTAAATAATTGTGAATATTCACAATCCAACGACATATCAAACATTACTGCAAATGTCGTCATAACACCAACAACAAACGTTAACTTTAACGCATGACCGGACCATTAAGCAACTGGTGCATTGGTATTGTGTGCATTTATTTTGTTTGGTAATATAATATGTGCTTCATCGATTATTGAATGTTCCTTCGAAATGAGACCGGGATGTCTTGATTGATTTATACATTAGCGCATGCTTATAATGGTGTATATATGATGGTGCGTTGTATTGTGCGCATTGGTTTTGTTTTGTAATAGAATATGTGCTTTATCAATTATTGAATGTTCCCTCGAAATGAGACGGGATGTCTTCATTGCATGCTTACAATGATGTATATATGACGTATTTATTTAAATTGTGAGTAATGCCGCCCATACTTACAGTGCAGGGTAGAACTGCAAACAATGTACACACTAATTACCCGTGTGAGCAGACAAACCTGAATACAAACAATAGCAATACAATTAGTTTGCATTGTGTTATTATGTCCACTTTCATTACCAAATATATATACAAGACAAGGGATATTCTTATATACTTTACTCCAGTGGGTTGACCTGTGACAACTGACCTTAAATTAGTACATTCATTGGTGCACAACGACGTCGGATTGCTCATTTATTTGAAATTGGAAAAACAAGTCACGCTTTTTTGCATTTAGACTTACACACATTCTACGGGTTAAATATTGGTCTGTAATGTACACGTATTGTAAGTGCACTGTGCATGTTATAACTTACAACACATACATTATCTAATAACGTAGATATAGGATCTTACGGTAAGTTTTGCAAAAGGAATACCTGATGGCTAATTTAAATATTGTCGTTTTTGACTATTGAAAGCACTTCATGTATTTTTAACTTCAGTCACGTTAATGACCTGTGATTCGCACTAGATGGCATTACGCTTTGTTTTGTTTTGTTTTTTATCTACTTGTTTAATAGCTACGTACAAATAAATGCAGACATGTCACCGAGAATCTGTTGGACGGTTTGACAGGCTATAATTAGATCAATAAAGCAGAGATACAACCAGAAAAACACATAATAAACGTAGAAGCAGAATCCACAGATTGTAAAATCACCTTTGGGTTGACCAAAAAAGTAGCCTAAATGTAAGCTCACAAATGATTCATAGGTTATTATAATACGCTTTAAGTTAGTAACTCTGGAAGAATGTCTGCATCACTGATGATTTTTTAACTTGTTTTCCCATGTTGCTACCTTACACTGAGTATACATTGCGCATTACTTGTTGTTAATTATTACAATTGGCGATACTAAAATTTTGATATGTCATATGTCTGATTTTACTTCCCTAAAACTGTTTTTTTTTAGTTCAATGTAGTAATGAAATGTAACAAACTATGGAAATAGACAGAACATTTTCTTTACGTCAGTGATTCGATAAATTAATTGTTGTGCACAGAATTGTGAATAATGAACACGAAGCTACAAACACCCAAATTAATTAGGGACAAAAATATTATATGCAACAAAATCCGAAATCCCACAATCGCACTACCAACGAAACACAGTTCGCAAGAGATAAAATAAGAATGAAATACTAATTTAGATTTGCGCGAGATATATGTGTCTCATATAAACAAAGTTATCGACCTTGACTAGGGACGTTACCAAGCTTAAATTAGGTGTTATTTTAGGTGATGTGAAGGTATTGAAGGAGTCGCCGCTCAGGTCAAACCTCATACTTGTGATTTCCATTAGAAGAGCGCATTGGATTGTGAGAAAATCAATTTTTGTTAACACAAAGGTCGCGCACGTGCAGCGCGACGACCACTGCCCTTTAATCTTTCGCGAGATAGTACATCTGACATACAGTGATGATTCATGCGAATTCAACAACCTCGTTCAAGGACCAGGATGACATACTTACACCAGTGAAATGGACAATATTATTTTAGCTAGCCTAGAGCTGAGTTGATTTAGAACATATTATGGTTGTTTGTTACGCTATATTAAAATACTATACATGCGAGGAAATGAAAACACGATGTGTTCTAGGTACGAGTGCAATGGAACGGTAAACACAATTACAGTCTCCTATAAACCGACTTCATTTCCGGTAAAATGTGATTAGTTATTAACCTTCAATGATCACTATTGGTTATTATCTCAATACGTGAGTAAATATTGCATTGCATTCGGAATTGCTCAGTGTATATTGAAAATTACCAGAGAAACGGGTTTGTGTGATTACTAAAATTGAATGCCAACACGCAGCTCAATGACATCCGACATAGGTCGCACAATGGTTAATACGTGATGTAGAATAACTTCTTTTCAACTAACTGACACGTCATTACAGTCTCCGGGCAATTAGCAAACAGACATCTCCGCAACTAACTATGATAATAATGATTGAATGATGTTGCCATGGTTACCACATTATATACGAAACGTAAGCACTTTGAGATCAAAGTTAGCATTTTAAAAAAAACACTGTGTGGTTGAATTACCGACCCATTTCAGGCCTTGTCTTTAGATTTTTTTGCATGTGTGATGGATGAGTGTCTGTATCTGTGGAAAGCCCACACCAACTTGGCTATGCTCATTCACATTACACAGTGGCTCGACCTTCAAGCAATATATACCAAAAATATAAATATTATTAAAGAGCGGCGGTCGTCGCGCAGCGCGAGTTCTAATATCATGTAAAAAAGCAAAGTATTTTACACGCGTTGTGCACGTCGCTATGAGTCCCATATCGAACAGGACGTGGCGCAACGACCGCCGCCCTTTAACATTTCCAAGAAATATTATTATTTTAGTACATTAAGATTAATCATCAACACATTAGTAAGAAACTATATCAGACATATATATCTCACACAAAGTACACGGATGTAATATTTGGTTGCAACGTCTGGCACACGTTCACAGAATAATACCACACAACTAATGTTTTCACATCGTCTTAAAATTTCATTTATCTTAATTTTAATTCGTTAACCTGTGACCTTCCTTGAGGATGTTATGCTTAGACTAATATCATATAATTACAAAATATAATTACGCATATATTGTAAGGCTTTGCATTCCAAGCCTACGACCATGAATAATAATATATCCCAATATTTTCATTTTATATTTATGAAGGTGTGAATGAAATAAATGGCAATATCACGTGACAATACACAATAAAGTTTGTTTTATATGTATTAAACACTGTAAATATCTTACTAAAAGTCGTGGACTTTAACCATGCGCGGTACATATGTATGTGTAATTCAGTACATCTGGAACATGGATAATTATTTTAGTTATTCGCGGCTCGTACCGACAATAGCGTATTGTAATGCGAGAAGCAATCTTGCGTGCGTAGCGCGAGGAGAAATAGCAATATTACCGAACGCTATCGCCACTATTAGGAGCGTAAGACCTCTTTATCATACGCGTAACTGCATCAGTACAAAAATCGCCCAACTGACCACAAAAAGCGACAAATGGAATTGGAATTGCCCATTGCTAACTTTTAGCAATGGTTCTTTGCCGTATACGTGTAAAAAAAATAGCGAGTCGGAATAGTTTTGTCGTGATTATGAATACTGATTACTACAAAGGGACCAGCATTCGCAAGGCAGCGATCTCTGGATTCGGAGTTGCGTTGTCATTGTAAACAAAATAACACCGAATCGAAAACCGTAAAACAATATGACATTGCGAATATCAATGTTGCTCATATGATTACACAATACTATACCATATCACAATTGCTCTGTATATAATTATTTCCACATTACTCTTTGATGTATAGACATTTTGTTCTGTGTTTCAAATGTTTCAACTGTATGCACAGTCTCTCGTTTAAAATCAATAATGTCAGACACATATCTGAATCATGTGTATCCATGACAATACCTTATATCTATGGTTACTGAAGTGACATTTGATGTATACTTTCATAGATGTACGCAAACCATGAAACTGTTGCATCGAATGACTCAGTATACATTTGTTTTGGTTGATCTTTTTAACTATTTGTGATTCAAATATTTGAAAATTGTGTTCTATAATTCATAACGACGGGTTACCTTGTTTCGAAATTATCAATGTTTTTTTTATAAATGTTTTTGATCCGGGAACAGTTCTGTTGTCTCTCCTGATTTGTTTTGTATGTGCAAATTGCAAGGACTAACACATAGTGCATTTTTTCCACAGAAGTCATATTCATGTTTGGGACTACACGACAGGGCTATCTCTCTATCAAATGGGAATTAAATTGGCTATCCTGGCGTCAACCAGGCTCGGTCGAACACAAGCACATGCAGACATTAACCAAGGTTCCTCAAAAGTCGCATTCGTTAGTGATATTTTGGCAAGTGGAAATGACCTTTCCATTGAGTCTATGGCACACAAACCCTATTTGAACTTGGGTCCACCGATTATGAATGTGATGTAAAAACCACTATACCAGTGACCGGTATCAATGTTACTCGCAGTAACTATATGTCATTATGGTAACGATTTTACGGTCAGAGCTTCTTAAATAACGTTTCTGTTATTTTTACGATGTAGAAACATTACAGTGAACTTATCATAAGCAAATTATAATGAATCCAGTCAACATATAAATGTAGTCTAATAATTTCGAGAAAGATGTGTAACTGTCATGCATTTGTATGTTTCAGATAAAAACACATGATTAATGTTCGAAAGGAGTGAGCACATCCTCCACATGTGGAACACAGCAAGTAACAATTTGAATCACATTCAAGTGGTTGGTTACATATGATACACAACTCATCACCTGTCAAAGTGATTTATGATTTTTATCCAGTTTATTACACCCGCGGGACAAACTGCTTGAATGTCATAAACGAGTCGCGCACTTAAAAAAATCTTGATTTAATAGTTAGAGCATTATTGTTGTATTACTTTATTTTGTAAGTATTATTAATGTTCTGATAGATGTATTGTTCTCAT